CCCAGCCTGGGGGTGGCTCTGGGTTACCAACCATTTTCCTTTCAGGGTGGCCTGGGAGTCCAGCCACTCCAAGGGATGTATGTGTATATGGTTGGGTGGGGTTGTGGGGGGGAGCATTGGGCCTGTGTGATTTGGAGATTCAGCTCATTTGGCAGCAGGCAAAACTCCAAATCAGATTTGGTAGAATCGATGCGGGACAGTGATTCGAATTACCAAATCAAATCGCTGTCCCCCTGAATCCTCCGAATCCGAAGCGAATATTAGCCGCTTCACATAGGCTTAGTTGATACTACTGAGGTAGTTCAACAAGCAAACAAAGCAAAATAAATTCTATTATTGATTCACATTGATTAATAAAAGTGTTTTAAAAATTTAGGAATTGATTTTTGCCTTTGTTAGGGCTGGCTTACACTTGATATTGACACTCATTTAACTCAATTAATAGAAAAAACAGTTTAGTTAAACTGGAATTGGCCGCTTAGGTGAACACAGTAATTATAACAATATAAAGAAGTTTGTGTCCATACTGAAACAAATTACACTGATGTGAACACTTTTCCATTGATATGGGGTTGAACTGTAGGGGTTGAACTGGTTTAATTATACTGCTTTCTGAACTGGTGTATTTAAAATAGTCTAATCACTGCACAGAGACTAGTCCTTAACTACTGTAAATTCTCTGATCTATTTTTCTATTGTATTCTATTCTATTCTAGTACTGAATCAAGCAAGGACTTCTTCTGAGAGACATGAACTCCTTCATAGACTAGACTGCAGCATAAGAAGGTCTATAAACCTGCCATATCTTAGCAATTCTAGGGGCTGTTTTAAGCTAGACAAAAATCCTCATTTTCTTTTGAAGCTAAAGAATGAGGTCTGGGAAGTAAGGAGCTAATATATACCTCCTTGGCAGACTTTAAAAATGCCACATAAGCTTTTAGAATGTCTAGTTTTGAGCTGATATTTTTGCTAAGTGTTTTCAGTTCTTCATTTAGAAGTTCAGCTTTGTTAGAAAAAGTTGCCATCTCTGCAGCTTCAAATTCATCCCCTTCCTTAATGATCCTCACAGCCGCTTCCAGCTGATGTGATGTTTCCTACAATGGCATAAGCATAGAACACAGTTTAGCACACTGAAAAGGACTTGTGAAAAAATCACATCTCATGTTAATTTCCAACTGTTGGCTCCTTCACTTTACTTCACCCACCCAGACAGTGAAAGAACAACTCTAAATGTTCATCAGTTAAACACCATTCCATAGGAACATTTTAAAACGAAATACAAAGGTTGAATATCCCAAGCACATCTAGTAATTTTAAATAGGGAAAACATAAGTGTGAATATTTAAAATAAGTGCGTAGAAAGACAAGGTTCTTTGGGTAGATGTGATATCTTTTATAAGACCAACTAATGGTTGGAAAAATTGTTCTTTGCAAGCTTTTGGGCACAAACACCCTTCTTCAGGCATAGGAAGAGTCTGTTGTTATTTTGTGTGCTCTCCTGGGTAGAACAGAAGCCAAAATGCAAATTGCAGGTCTGTGAAAATGCAAATATATGGCAGTGAGGTTCAGAGGGAATGGGAGACAATAGATGAGAGACAGGTTGTGGTGGGGAGGGGGAAGAGGGGAATGCTGAACTGGTGATAGACTGTAGCTGGTAACATGCAGACAGGTTACCTGGGATTATCAGATGGCAGACACATTATAATATGCCATAAATCCTATGCCTATATTTAGTCCATGATTTTTTGTATCCAGTAGATTTATGAAGTGAAATTTGTATGCTCATCTATGAAAAGTGTTTTGTAAATTCCCTTTGAGGATCAGAACTGAGAGATTGGTTGTCTTGTGAGAAGTGTGCACCCCACAGGTAAATGGGTATTTTTGTCTTGATAGCTTTCTAGTGTGTGTTCATTCTGGTATGCAGTTGCTGTCCAGTTTCTCCTACATATTTTCCATCAGGGCATTTGGTGCACTGGATGAGATATATTACATTTCTGGAGGTGCAGGCATAAGATCCAGGAATGGTGATGGTTGTGCTGTGGGGTGTGGTTATTGTGGGAGTGGTGGAGATGTGTTGGCAGGCTTTATATTTCTTGTCCTGGCATGGTCTAGATCCATTCAGTGTGCTTTGGGCCATAGGAAGTTTGCTTCCTGTGATGAATTTGGCGAGGTTTGGTGCTTGCTTAAAGGCTGGAAAGGGCGGTCCTGGAAAGATCTTTTTAAGAATTGAGCCTTTTACCAGTATGGGTTGCAATTGTTTGAAGATTTTCCATATAGATAAAAGGGTCCTGTAATTCGATTTGGATTCAGAGATTTGGCCACTGAATTGGGCCAAATCTCTGCCAAATCAAATCAGGGACCATAGCTTCGCACAGCCCTAATGATTACCCTATGTATCTAAAGTCATAATTCAAAACTGTATATGTTAGGAAGGCATAAGAATACAACATAAGAAAAGAGCTTATATGCATCTACTTCTGGTTCGAGAGACCTAACCCAGCTTTAAATACTTCAGTCAGTCTCTTGGATTCATACAGCATGACATACTTATTTCCGACAATCAGCCAAGAGTGCAAGCTATATATGATGTGAAATTCCACAGGAGGAATGGAAAGGTGACTATGATCTGCAGTCTAAGCAGCTCACATTGGTTTAAAAGAAAATTCACAATAGGCAAAGGACATTTCCAAGTCAGAATAGTGTCATACAAGTGGGGAAGAAATGTCAGCAAAAATGACCACGTGCTGTTTTGCTACAAATAATGGGTTAGCTGCTATTAATTTTGCATTCTTGCTGAGTGACCTTCAGAGTTACTTGTAGGTAAACTCTGTTTTCAGTGCTACCGCCCAGCTGAAATTGATAGATTGTATCACTGATTAGCTTCAAATAGAATATGCACAGCTGCATTGTCAAATGGCTTCCCAGGCATGCAATATGCACTTATATTAACATTTTCACAGGCCAAGGGAAGTATAAAGTGGCTTTAATATACCTTTGTACCCTCCTGATCCTGTGGTGCTCCTGGGGCTGGGAAAGGTCTGTTGTGTAACTTGAATAACCCAGACAAAGTTACAAGAGCCTCCCTGGGATATGCCAATAGCAAGGCAGCCTTTTGGCTTTCTCCACTGTTTCTGCACCTCAGAAATGCTCCCCCACCCAGAAGCGAAACTTTTTAGCTATCAAGCCCTTTGTGTCCATATAAAGAAGCTGGGGCAGGACTGAGAATCTCAGCTCAGGTATTGTTCATGTCTTTCAACACCGCAAAACTCAATGAGTCATGTATGAGTACTCACACACATAAAAACCATCGTGTTGTAGAGGTATTAAAATCATATGACAATGTTTGGACCCTGAAACAGGATACGGTGATTTAAAAAAATGAAAAATGGACACACCAAAACTATAAGAACTACTTGCTTGCAATCTTCATTATGTTATTGTTGTTGGACAAGTATTTTTAATAAATAGGCAGAGCTATTTCCTTCCAAGGAAATGTGACAATCCTTATCTAAACTTCTCAGCATTTCAAAATTCCTATAGTGTGCACAGTGTCTAAAAATACTTACATTAATACCAAATGAAAGGGTGTTTTACCTTAGCTTGATTAGCCAGTTCTAGGTGTTTGTTCAAAATTCTCTCTGATTCAGACAAAGAAGACCCAGGATCCATACCAATGGTAAGTATCGGACTGATTTTTTTAATTGACATTGATACCTTGAATTAAAAATATAATAAATATAATAATATAATAAATATAATAAATAATTAATTTATATCATCAAGAGCTATGAAAATACAAACCTTCATAGTTTAGCTAAGTTTTGACAGATAATATCGATGTTTATTTTTAAGCATTTATTTTGATTTTTATATATTTACATTTTCAGGAATGTGCGAAATTAGGGCTGTGGGGAGCAGATAGTTTAACTGGCCATTGCGACAAATTTAACTACTGTAGGACTGCCACCAGTTGAGTATCAAAGCCGCTATCAGTCCCAGTTCTGCTCGCCCATAGCTCTCTTATCTTCTTTGTCACTTCCTCTTCCTTTGTCCCCAGTCCCCTGGGTTTGGTGGGAGTTGCAGTCTAAATTACAGTCAGCATGGTTCTGTAGGATTGTTCCCCCTGTTGTTAGACACTCCATCAACCATCATTTTTCTTATGTCTCCTTTCTATACATTTTGATTATTAATGACGGAAGTATCTTGTCCTTGGTCTGTGAGTGTGAGGTGAAATCAATGTTTGTTAGCATTTACCGGTAAAAAACAAATCCTGTCACACCTTAGTATAGCCAGGGGACACATTTAGAAGTTGACATGTAATTATTGGGTTTCTATTTTCTAATCCTTAATATAATGCAATGGAATTAGGAAATTTAGGGAATGCGAAAATTAAAATGAAAAATATTTAAGTTGCTTTTCTTTCTCTCCCTTGTAATTATTTTAGCATTTGTATCACAAAGGATAATTATTGTGTTTTAATCTAGAATTTATGACTTTGAAATCAATGCTTTGATTATGCTTCATTTAAAAAAAAATTACAGACAAATTTTTGCTTTAGAAAAATAAAACTTTTCGGTTGGCACTTGTCTGCCAATCAAAATGTTTTATTTTATGTAGAGGTGTGTATATATAACTTCCCTCAGTGACAATGGGAGTTAAATATATACAATGATAATAGAATATGTCATGAAGAGCAGCTGTAGACAACTCCAGATATGATATATATAGCCATTAATAGTGATGCAAATTTACGAATACCATACATTTTAAGAAGAAGTTTCAGGCTTTGTGTACACTAAATGAAACTCAATGCCAGCTAAATTTAGAACCATATCCTTCAGCAGGCTCTGCATTACTGGAAGATTGCACAGGGAAGTGGTTTTGTTCATTTTTTTTGAAGCAAGATGGGAACCATGGTTCAAATTTTCTAAATAACCCTAGCTGTGGGTGTCAGGAATGGAATATCCAAAAAGGAGACAACCAGGCCACATATAACATCATGGACCTAAGGTCATGTTTCATTGTAAAGAACAAAAATATTAAATTTACAGAATTAACTTGATTTAGATTAAGATGCTTTTATTGAAACTTGTCGCAAAAGACCAAGAGCAAGTAGCAGGGAATCTTTTGTTTTTAGCTAATTAAACTCTATATTTTTATTTCATCCATTCTACTAGGTCTTGAAATCTCATTTATGGAAAATGGGTGCAAAGGGATCCATTGATTGCAAATTGACTTCTTCCCTTTTGACTCAGAATATTTCCTTGTGAGCATCATGTGTATATATAGGATGTCAAATTACATATTGAATAATTATCAAATCATTATATATAATCTATTTTTTTGTATTTATGCCTTGGGATTTCTTTGCTGTGAACCTTGTTACAAAGATTATATTGCATTTGAGCTATAAGGGGCATTCAGGGTCTCCTTTACAGATGATGTGCCTATTATACCTCAAATGCAACATTGTGGAAGTCAGTAGGAGTTGAGGGCACTCAGTAGGTTAGAGAGATTGTCAAACATCTTGTAGAAACAGAACTTTAATGAATAAAATGAATTTTTATACCGAATGTGATGTACTCTGCTTTGGCAACAGAAAGCAATCACATCAACCCTGCTGTGATTCACAGTTACTATTTCTATTGTTCCCTGAGTTTGCTGTACCACCTTTTCCATTTTCAACAAAATGCATTAAAAAAAGGAGAGAGAGAGAGAGAGAGAGAGAGAGAGAGAGAGAGAGAGAGAGAGAGAGAGAGAGAAATATTATGCAGAAAACTTACATCAGTACCAGTCCTAATAATTTGTTTATCTCTGACAAGGCATGGTCATCCTCATACCAAATTATGATTATTAGTTTGTATGCACTGCTATCATGTTTTCAGTGAAAAGTGTTCATTTCCGGAGCAGGAGTTTTAGGTTTACTGGCAATAGTCTAACTGAGGGCGGGCAACCAGGGCACAAGGTCCAGGTACCAATTTAGGTCAAGGAATAGAAGGGGGGAGGGGAGGGCACCAGGATGATAGCATCCAGAGAGCCTGTGCTACTGCAGCAGCAGCCCAAGCCCACAACATGGCAGAAGTAACAGGGGTCTCCACAATCAGGTAAGACTTGTTTGACATCCCACTGTGGCTCTCTGGCATTCTGCCCAAAGCACTAAAATATCTAGTTATGCCTCTATTTACGGGGCCCACTGCTGCACTCAGCACTTTACACATATTTGATATTCTTTAACCAAAGAAATATATCATTATTGTTATTAACCCACACCCCCAGAACTCTAATATTCTGACAGCTTTACTTTAACAAATTAATATAGCTTGCAGGATAATGTTAACAACAACAACAACAACAACAAAGGCATTCCATGATGTACCTTTTTTAGATAATCTTCTAGTGAGGCAGTTAACTGCTGTTTCTTTAAAGAAAATTCTGTGTAAGCAGGACACTGCTTGATCAGTTGATCCACTCTTTTCTGAATGTATTCTATCATTTCCTGAATTCCAGGCAGCCAAGAACTAAATTGGAACAATACAGCTGTTAGTACTTCTCCAGGCTTGTGCAGCAGCCAAGATGACAGCAATTAAAAATAACATTGCTGTTTCAGATCAGAGGTGATTTAGCAACAACTTAAACACTCAAGCCTTAAAAAGTCATTATAAATATCAGTAATAAACAAAGCAAAACTGATAATGAGTAGGGCAGAAAGGGAGACTACATTTTCAATTTATAAATTAGCCTCAGGCACCAATTCCCTGGCTCACGCTGAGAACTACCTTTCCAGAAATAGTTTCAATGACTTCAGTTACCTGAGGAGTAAGGCAGCGTTCAGTGCAAGAAGGGGATCAGGCTGACTCTCCCAAAACTGAACAGAAGAAAGATAAATGAACTAAAAATATCTGATATGTTACAGAGGCTTATATTTCTATTTTAAAAGGATATGCTGCCTCTGCCTCTCAAATTTTCTTCCAGTAGGTGCACAAAATGTTATCAACATTCCCCCCATGCTTTAAATGTTTGTTTAAAGACGCTGTTTGAACAGTAGTGTCAAATGACAAAGTACTGACTTGCCCTATAATTTAAAACATTTAAACATCAGGGTGCCAATTCACAATAAATGAATACTTGAGGCAGTTCTCCACAATTTGAAAAAAAGTTATCACATACATTTAAGATATGAAGATAGCATGTAAAAGAGATCAAATCTTCGTACTAATTAACTATTGAAGCTTTCTCTAACTAAAAAAAAAAGATTTATATGACAAACACAGTTAAAATGTGATGTTTGTTAAAGTCCTCTAGTAGCTTTTTAATGTGCTTACCTTGATAAAGACACTTACACAGGGCCTGCTCCTATGCCTACTGAAGTGACAGCCTGGTGCATAGCACACCCCTTCCCAAACATTACTGTGGACTATATCAAGGTAATATGGATTACCTTGAATTAATATAAAATCCAAGATGGTAATAATAGCATTATTTAATAATAACATGATTTGGAATTCTGCAAACTAATTTCCTGAAATCTTTTATTTTTTAATTTAATATTACATTTGTAAAATACTATTCCTCTATTCTAACATTTTTAAAGAAGAGATGATCCTTTTAACAGTGTCTTCAAACACTACAGAGATTAGGTATATGCCTCTTGAAGATAATTACGTAGAGTTTAATAACATCTTGGAAAGGGCTATTATTTTTTATGCTATTAACACAGATAACTAATTTATGATGCAGTGAAATCAAATTTAGTCATCAGTAAAATGAGGGCAAGTCTACTGATAGGCGAAGGAGGCTGGCCAGAAAAATAACGAGGACAAACTCTCAGACTTGGTGCAGACATTATACTTAACACATATTAAGCACGCAGAAAGGGCTTTAAACTAAACAAAACAGATGGCACTTAAAGCACAGGACCTGGGGTTGGGGGGAGATAGCCCCTCTGTCACATGAACCTGGCCCAGCACCCCCTGAGACCCCGGCCAACAAGCTATGGGGGACCCTTGTGGTGGGGGGCTCCATTCATCCTCCTCTCCTCCCCAGCTGTTGCTGACAGTCATCTGCTGGTGGGGGAAGGCAGGGCTGGGGGGAGGGGCTGCTCCAGCAACCTCCTGGGAGGTATGCAGGAGCACCCCCCACTGCTGGCCTCAGCCAGTGCAGACAGGCACCGAGCCCCTCCGCCACCAAATGGTGAATATCTGTTTGGTTCATTCCCATTCTAACTTATAGCACTTTAAGTAAAGTGTGATAGTTAGATTGCTTCTGCCGGGGCTTTTTGAATGTCTGTACTGAGCCTTAGTGATTTCAGAATATCTATGAATTAAAAGTATGCATTTTATATAGAAAACCTGTATCTTCTACATGCTTTAATGTACAAAAAGAGAAATTCACAAACGATCAGCAGTTATATTATTTCTAGAGATATGCTCATTTGAAACAAAAACCTGATTTGGTTTTTTCATCTATTTAAATATATAGTAGTAGTGAGACTATAATAAGGAACTGCTCCATACACTCTTTAACTGTATCTCCACTTGTCTAGTGAACAAGGTTTTTCCCCTACTTTTTAATTTATTCTGACTAATTTCCAGTATACTAGAGAGATTTCTGTGCTAGATTTTCAGAGCTAGAACTATAAAGTTCTAGTTCTTCAGTCTTTAAGTCAGTGATATTCCTCAAGGAATAAAAGACTACTCAATGCAAGAGAGACAAAATTTAGCTATTAAAAGCTATATAGGGCAAGAATTTTCTTATATGTATATAAACTGCCTAGTACATTTTGGATACTCTAATATCGCTACAAAAATCATGTGGATGTGACCATTTATTTCTATCTTAAATCTTTTCCTACTGTTCCCTGCCTTCACCCACATTAAATAGACATTTAACCCATTTCAGTTATCAATACCTAGCCAGACTTTCGATATCATATTTATGATCCAGGTTCTGATATCGTTAGTCATGCTTAATAGTTCTTTAATTAGAGGAAAAATCTCATCAAAATTAATGCAGCACTTGTAGTACTATACACAATCACACTAAAGTTTGTTTAGCAAACTGTCTCAAAGAATAAAAAAAAAATATATCCCTTACTGTGGCATCAGATATTCTGGCCTTCAGCCTAATTAAAATGGGGTTGTCACACAGGAAGTGGAACAAGCAGTCACCCTACCTTTCCCCCTATCATAAATCATGATGAATCCTTCTGCTATTGTATGCTCATTATTCTTCGAGGAAGCTGCAAGCTGCTTTCCAATTCTAGAAACACTTCTACAGGCTGTCCAGATGGAACCAGAATCTCAGACAGTAAGTGCTTGGCAGGTAGCTACCCATCTCATCAGCAAACTATACCTTTTTAAAATTTTTATACCAAAGAAGTCATTTAAAATAAGACTAAACTGCCTCAGTATCTACACCATACACTAAGCTCTAACATGAATTCCCAGGTTGTCCTTATATTCTGTGAAAATATTGTCTCTCTTTTTCTCCCACTTACATTGGTTATTCCTTTATATTTCCTTCCCCAATTGATTTTAATTATTGTTTTGTGCTGCATAATTAAGGGGTCTGAATCAGGAAATAATTTCCTTCTTGTCTTAATTTCATATGTATTCATTGAGAAAACATGGTTTACTAACATAACCTATTAAGTTTGTTTTACTTGTTATGCTAGGGCTGAAATTCAGGCCCTACTGACTTTAATGGTAGAACTCCCTGGCTTGAACAGTACTAGGATTATCTAAAATTAAATATATATATTTAGTTTCATAGTAGGTAGGGTTGGAAGGGACCTGAGCAGATCATCAAGTCCGACCCCCTGCCATGGGCAGGAAAAAATGCTGGGGTCAAACAACCCCGGCTAGGTGATTGTCTAGCCTCTTTTTGAAGACCCCCAGGGTAGAAGCAAGCACCACTTCCCTTGGAAGTTGATTCTAGATCCTAGCTGCCCTGACAGTGAAGTAGCGCCTCCTGATATCTAGCCTGAATGTACTCTCAGTCAACCTATGGCTGTTGTTCCTCGTTACTCCTGGTAGTGCTTGGGGGAACAGGGACTTCCCCATAGCCTGCTGGTCCCCCTTGGCCAGTTTGTAGACAGCCACCAGATCCCCTCTCAGCCTTCTCTTGTGGAGGCTTACAGGAGAAGCCCTCTCCTCATAGGGCTTCTCCTGTAAGCTCCTGACCATACAAGTCACCCTCCTCTGGACCCTGTTGAGTC